TTATTAGTTAACGAAGCAGCCTGGCCATATCTGGAGTTATCACAAATTACAAAAAAATTTGCATAGCTTAATGTAAAAAATAAGATAAAATAAATTTGAATAAAATTCATATTGATTAAGTATTATATCTTAAAAAGTCAAGGCTTCTCTATTTTGAACAGATAAAAGTCTGTATGAACAAATTACTCTTTGTGAGTATAAATAAACACAAATACTATTATAAATAATATTGTGTTATAAAAATACTATAAATTTTTATGTTTAAAAATCGTTAGTTTCTTATATTTCTTTTCTTTTTGCAAGCATCAGATAAGTGTGAATGTAAGTGCAAATCATTATACGCTGCTATCTTTTATTGAATTCGTACACACCTATTAATAGTTTTATAGATATATTATTATGTGTAATTATGATAATGTTCTCTTTACAATAACGTGGTGGCATACACTTTAGTGTGATCGAAAATTCTGTGTTACTGATAAATGTAATTATTAATTCGTGCTATGATTCCAACCAGTTACAAATCTCTGGTTATGTAACCTGCTTTTTTGTTTGCTAAATCGGAGGTTCAAGTATAAATCTATTAAATACGTAAAGCCAGAAATATTTTAATTAAACGGAAATCTCAGACATTTTACAATAAGGTTTGTCCTTTGATTCCAAAAGCGAAAGTTCCAAAGTTTGTAAGACCAACGCGGAATAATGATTAGAGCTGCACCCCAGCCTCAGGTTATTATAATCAAATAATTAAATATGAACTTATAAATAATTTAACTACTAGTATTATAATAAAATAAAAAACAATCTGTAGATTAATAGCTTAGTAATCAAGTTTCTAGACTCTAACTAATAATTTAAACTTCATTAGAATAAGTATCAACAAAAGCTTTAATTAGAGATTCTATTACTATTTCATTTTCTTCTGCTTTGTTTGCAAGCACCAGAAAGTATGTTGTTAATTATCTATTAGCGCACTGACATTTATTACGTAATATCCATTTACTACGTATAAGGGCTACCCACCTCTCCTCCACATAAGATCTATATGATTGACTAATTTAGAAATTATAAAATAAGACATTGATATACGTAATACATACTCATGCGTACACTTATTTGTGCAAGTGATACAAAAAATTAGCCAATCGGAGAATGTAAAATGTGATGATCCCGGATCAGACCGACACGTGAGCAAAGCGAAGACCTTGTTGGACTAATAAAAAATAAAGGGAATGAAATTTTACGTATAAAGAACTCACATTATCACCAAAGCTCACAACCCTAACACTAACCCTAACGTCCTAATCCTAAACTTTCTTAGTTTATTTACAAATGCGATTTCCTTTTTTGGGGTTGTATAACTTGCAAAAATAAGTATTTCGCATACGCAACCCACCCTTAAATATTACGTAATAAATGTCACAGCCCTTATTGAACTCGGACGTTATGAGGGGCTCCAGTGTGACTAGTTTCTTTTTTTATTGTTATTCCAGTTGTTAGTAGATTTATTTCTATTCTAGTTGATTATAGGAATTTTTAGTTAGTACGAAGTATATATAGAAAATCCCAACCTTATTTGTAAAGTTCACTTCATCATTTATTCCATTTATGGCCTTTATTCCTTTTATGGCCTTTATTCTGTTTGTGGCCTTTATTTCTTTTGTGGCCTTTATTACTTTTATGATATTAGTGATATTAATGGAATTAATTCCATTAATAGCACTTCAGGAATTAATTCCATTTCACTACAAAGTTCAATCTTAAAACCTGTATTGAGATAAGTGACTCTTCTTCGCTTCAATAAAGATAATTCACTCAGAGTCTATTATTTGACTTTAATGTTTTGCCCTAACTTTATTTAGCTCTAATAACTTGAACCAAGTCTTTCCATAGCTCTTTTGTGCTTACTACTATTAGAGTTCGATAGAGATTAGTAGTTTAGAGTGTTGTTTTAGATAGTCTTAGTG